CGAGCTCTTCAAGGCGGGCAAGATCACCGCAGATTATGTCTCGAAAGAAGAGCAGCACGCCGATATGCTGACCAAGGTCCTTGGGAGGGGCAAGTTGGAGTACCACCGGAAGGCTCTGATGAACCTGCCGATGTAGGGTTCTGGTCTCGTTTTCGTGGCGTTTGTTTGTTTTGTTCTAGCACTGGGCGCGTCTCGGACCATGGTATGTCACGCAGGAAGCGTTGGGCAGGGGCGTCACCCGCGGCGGGAGCTTAAGGTTTTTGACCAATTGCTTCGGGTGTGTAATCAGCGTGGCCTGTCCAATCTGTCCTGCCTTGGTCCTGCCCTGATAGTGCGGCNCATGCCCCACTGATGGTTTGTCAATAGCTTGACGAACCGGGGAGGGTGTTCGTGTGTCTGGATACGAGCATGGTAGATCTGTTAGCAGCACAGGGGGGTACGTAGACAGGAGCATGCATATGCCTGAAAAAGGCTACTATGTGTGGGCCCCCTTCCCCGAATTCGGGAGGGCCACTTCTTCTCTTCCTTTCCTCGCTCCCGCGGGTGCCTAATCAGAGAGAGTCTAAGCGTGTCTTCTCCTCCCAAGTACGGACAAACCAACAGCCTAGACTATGTGTGGCACGTGTGTTGTCATGGGCGAGCGCGGAAGAACCTTTTGGATGGTGAGCCACAAGTCTACATTTTAGCAGCTATTGTTTTATGGTCTACATCGCAACGTCGCGTTGAGTAGGTTTGATCGGCGACATTGCCCACCCCTTTGGATAACCTATTCCAATGTCACGCTAGAATGATGGAGAATATAAACGAGAGGCAGAACTCCCTGGACGCATCATACCAGACAATCAAAGACAAGCACATACCATCACCAATAGAAACACTTTCAAACAGGCGCGGTTTCATGTACCCTCACCTTTACGCAGGCAGCCTTCACGAGCCGTGATGACTGCGGTTGTTCTATTGGTGATGACTGCTGTTGTTCTACCGCGAGTTCCCGCAAGAGGCCAGCCCTAGTCGACCGGGCGCAAAACCCGAGGCAGTGCATGCACATGAGGCTGAAAAAGGCCACGATAACACCCGGAATAATCAGCGCCGCGTTCGTGTTCACGAAAAGGTCGTACTGCGTCCGGCCCCAGCAGCCGGTGAGCGGAGCATCGAAGTAGCCAGGTACCCGTTGATGGTGTTGCTGTTTTGCCAGGTAGTCCAAGAGTAGTCGTAGGACGTTTCCTCCACCGTCGGCATTCGTTGGCACCATCCAGTGGAGGGGTCAAAGCTCCACGCGACGCAAGTAGAGTTGGTGCCCGATCCATCTCCGTCATTGTCGCCGCCACCGTTGCAAAGCGCGCAGCAATCCGGCCAATCCAGCGGGGCGTCCAGCACCACTGGCTCTCCGTCGGGCGAGCCCTCAAGACCGCCCCACCAGGCGTCACAGCGGTTGCCATCGTAGCACTCTTTCCAGGCAGCACCGTTAGCTTCCCGTAGGGGAAGGGTGTTGTCCGTCTTGAAGCCCTCGGGGATGTACGGGCTTTCTCCTGGGAAGTCCGGAGGCGAGGTGACCTACAGAACGAGCCCGCGATTAAAAAAAACGTCATTGCCGGCTGGTCTAGGCTAGTTTCGTATTCGTCGCGCCGTCACGCATAGGGTACAAAGCTATGTACCAGAGTTAAGGTTAAAATCCACCGTTGCTACAGTATGATCAACAACCGAAAATTCCAATTTTCCGTCAAGTCTCAGATTCTTGGTGGAATACCTGGAATTTCATAGTTGTGGGCCCGTACGGTAGCATGCAGAGTCAAGGTGCAGCCAGGAACGTTACGGGTTTGCGAAATAAAAGAAATTGATGCCCTCCTTGGACTACCGACGAATGTTGGACAAGGAAACGTCTGTCTGGCCGTCAAATTCCAAGCACTTCAGCCGACAAACAACGGCAACGAATGTTTCAAACTCGCCTTAAAACAAACATGCAAGTCTCAACCAAAACATTCCTACGATAGTGGCCCCACCGATCAGCACAGCTCCTCATAGATAGACGTCTTCTGGGCGTCCCGCTTGTCCGTGGTCCTTGTTTCTAACGCTACAGGGGCGCTAACCATTGTAAAACCATACGCTGAACTGAACGCTCTATCGTAGGTGACACAAGACATCATACCCCCTAGACCGAGCAATAAACCTGCATTACTTCACAGTAGAAGTGTGGCTGTGCCCAAAATGGCGGCGCTACAGAACCGTCCCGTGGAGAACTTTCCGAAAACATTCCGCTATGTTTGTTATCCTCTTCGTCGTGGAGGACTGAGCAAGTTTTGATTACAAGTCCAGGGGGGGCGATATCGTTCTTCGCCTGTGGCACTCACGTAGCACCAAGTCCTCTCGTAGCCTGCACCTTCGAAGGTGTTCAGAGTGTAGTCGACGTGCGCACCACACCCAGTGAAAGAGTATCCCTTGCATCTGGCCGCGTAGGGAAGGAAACGATAGCAACAGCAGCAGTAGTGGATCAACGCACGGTTGCGGCCGGAAATGCTCGCCGTTTTGTTCAAGGGGTTGGTACTCGAGGACGCCTTGACGAGACCGATATTTGTTGGTGCCCAGCGTGAATCGGTAAGCGTGTCTCTAATAAGGTGACTCTGGCGTACATCTCGGCGGAAAATGTCAGACACACGTCAAGTATCGGCATTCGTGCTTTCCGTGCGCTTCATCCAATTGTCTCCTCCGCACTCTAGCAATAGTTAAATGGAGGTAAACCCTGGTGAAAAAGCCCTTGCACGTTGCGTTACTCACCTTGTATCTGCCAAGCCTGACACTCCGTCGACAGGGCAAGTGAAGGGTGCAGTGATGCCAGTCGTGGGGAATAGCGTCCGCCAGTCTTGTTGTGTCTGCTTCCTCGTGTGCTTTCTTAACTAGTGCTGACGTTTGCGGAGAAGGGAGGAAAACGGAGGCTCTGTGTCTGCTGCCTTCCGGAGCGTGGAAAAAACAGTCATCTGGCAGTGCCGAAAGTCGCAATCCTATATTGTCCCCCCCATTCTCCCCCCGGTGTTTGCCATCGGGGTTGGGTTTTCGTCGCTTGGCAACGACGTTGTAAAACAAGCC